TGCCTGATTGATTGATTGATTTCACACTTGTCTAGGATGGATATCATGGAAAAAGAATCTGGCCATTCTAAAGTCAAGGGTGCAGCGCAAGACTGCTGATGAACAAACAAAGACCACTCATCAAAAAAATTAGTAAGCGACATCAGATAAAAGATAAGTACTTCAAATATGCCCAAGAATTACTATGCAACATGCAAAATGTTTTATTGAACTAGATCTTTTCTATGGCAATAGCACCAGTATGCATATGGAGGGGGGGGGAGAAAAAGAGAGAAAGAGAAAGAGAGAGAGAGAGAGAAAGAGAGAGAGAGAGAGAGAGGCAGATAGAAATTCCCCCATGTCAACTAAATGGAAGAATTCCACCAGGAAACCTCTTTTAATAGTTGACTATTGATCTCACAGAGGTATTTATAAAATAACTCTACCCTAATGTCTACGATCCTCATCCTTCTTACAGAAGTATAGGGGTGTATCACATAAAATACGTACCCGAACTGTTCATTTCTCTTATATCAGATGGGAGAAAACCTGCAGAAGATTCTAAAGTTTGCCCTTAGATTGTAAAGCAGTCAGGATCGAATGTATCAATTACAGTCTCTGAAACTTGGCTTTCCCTGGGAGGGAGCTCCACCTGAAAAGTTTTTTGGACAGTAAGATTAATGATTCACTGTACTCTTACTTTCTGACTACTGGTTGCCCAGGACTAAATAAAGTGTACCACAACCAAAGAATGTAATAGAATTATATATATCAAAGATTTTTAAAAATGTTTTTTCAAGAATTAAAAGGAAAGACCAACACACACAGAAGATGGAATGAAAGTTCACCAAGTTTTCCACACACTTAAGGCAGGTTACATTTGGGCTATGGGAAGTTTTCGAAAGACAGCTGTCTGCCCCATCACCACAAAAGTACCACAAAAGGATGGGTCAGTGAAAAGGTTATCCCGGAAAGATTTCAAAGTGGATTATAGAATGAGCTTGCCCAAAACACCTAGGAACAGAGCTAGTGAGTTACCTTCAACAGGATAAGAAATGGCAAACCTGACTTATTTATAAGGAAGTGAAGCTCTGGGTAATACACTGACATTTCCTGGACCCATTCCTAAAATGGATCAGAATGTTTTGTTTGGTTGCAGTGGTCTCTGATACTTTTTAATTAATGCATTTATTATCAAGTGAATTTTATGTGATACACCCTTAACAGCAGAGTCATACAGATTTACGTAGCCTGTAAACTGTCTATAAATTAAGCACACTCCAAAAGTTACACTAATACAGTCAAAAAAATTTTGAGATCTATGTGAGTCTCATTCAGGTTGAACAAGATTACCACCATTTTGATTTTGAAAACTAGACCATTGTACATTTGATGTCCTTGAATGATTACACCCTTGTCAAGTTAATCTATATTTGAGCTTGAAAATGAACTTGCCAATTAAAATTTACCTTGGTATTATAACGAGGACTTCAGTTCCAAGCTCAACAAAATGAACCATGTGTCATTCTGCTATCATAAATAATTAAAATTATTTCAGGAAAAGACATTTTTTTCAAGTGAGATTCTTTAATAGGGGAAATCAATAGTAATAGGGGAAATCAATAGTTCTTACCAACAAGTGTTGGGGGAACGCTTGTGCAGAAATGAAGTTGTGGTGGCTGAGGTAGGGATGAGAAGTCACTGATCCTTCTGGAAAGGATCAATGTTATGTTTGGTTGCAGTGCTCTCTGATACTTTTTAATTAATACATTTATTATCGAGTGAATTTTATGTGACACATTCTTAAGAGCAGAGTCATACAGATTCATTCCTTCTAGAAAGTTTCAAATCTAACAAGGTGACCTGCTCCATTGACACAGATGCTGAAAGCCACCCAGCCTGAAAAAGCCTGGAACCAGGGAAGATTTCCACTTCCCCTCACACACTGGGCTTTTGGTTTGCTAGTTGGTTGTTTGGTTCTCATGCCTATGCTTGTAAATACATGAGACAGGAAAACAAATCAAAGGAAGTAAAGCCCTCATTAGAAGGCCTTCTTAACCCAAGCCAGGGAGAAAGAGAATCGATATTTAGTACTCTGGACATATTGGCCCTAAGAAGGTAAACAATAGCAATAAAACAGGAAAAAAACCTATTCAACTTTATTTTTATCATCACCATTATTAGTACCGGGCTGCGGTTGATCACTGTTTTTCTTTAGGGCTTTCCAAATAGCGAGTCCAATCTGAGAACTAAATTTAATTGCTCTGTGCCTCACCGAAGCACAACTATAACCCTGCAGTCAATTCAAGAAAATGAAGATCAACCTTTTCTTTGTAACCTTTTCCTTAAGATGTTATCTCATGTATAGGCAAGTTACAATACTCTTTCAATTCGAAGGATGATATGAATTTTTAAACTATTGTAATCATTTTAAAGGGAATATAACTTTACAGGACGTTACTTTTCTTTCCTATATTAGTACACAGAATTTACACACTTTCGTTCCATTCATCACGTACTTCACACTGGTACCAGTGGGAGATGCACAGGTGAAAGATGAAGCTAAAATATACTCCTGCTCTGTACTTGGCTTTGGCACCTACATCTAGTCAATAAACTAAACTATTGTCACAAAAATTTAGCAAAGTTTTACTTTCAGGCAATCATTTTTCAAGCCCATTTATTATAAATTGGCTAAACTGGAATTTTTGCCGAAATTCAGTTGCATGTCTTCAGCACTATCTTTTTCATTTACAAAAGTGAGCTTTAACTGGGGCTCGCTGCCTCCTACGTAACATCAGGTCGCCAGCTCGCTTCCACCTGCTTGTACCATGGGTCCTCCTTCCAGGGCTAATAGGTTCTGGACGTAACCCAAACACGCAAACTTTTTGGTCGCAAATTATAGTCCTCTCGCTGTGATCTGAAGCGACCCAGTAGTGGGAACGGCTTTTGTTCCAGAGTCGCCCTGCTGACGAGGTGAGCACCTCGACAGTCCTGCATCCCCCAAAAGTCGTGAGACATTCCGTGGGACGGGAAGCCCATTTCCACGCAATCTGTGCACAAACACACGAAGGACAGAGAGGGAGGAGCAAGGATGAAATCCTAAGTGCCTTTCAAATTCTCCTTCTCCCCAAGGTTCACAAAGTGAGTCTCCTGCGTGGAGGGCGCGAGCGGGCGGGGGCCGGGAACCCGGAGAGAAACGGGGACGTGAAGGGTACCCGAGCAGCAGTCCAGCTGCAGGTCCCGCCCCGCCTCCGGGTACAATCAGGAAAGCTACAGTGTGTCAGTGGTTTTCGGCTTCCTGTTTGTAAAGCGAGAAGCTCCCCCCACGACTCTGGGACGGTGGCGCGCTCGCGGCCCGGGGCGCAGGGCCCCTCCCAGCCGGCGGTCCCCGGGCGGAGCGCAGCCAGAGGCGGACAAAGCGCCCCCGCTCCTCCCCAAAGGCTCGGTCCCAGGGCGGCGAGCTGGAGGAGGAGGAAGGGGAGAGGGAGGAGGAAGGGGAGAGGGAGGAGGAAGGGGAGAGGGAGGAGAAAGGGGAGGAGGAAGGCGCAGCCGGCGGGACTGGGCTGGATCGCGCCGAGAAGGGAGGGGAAGGAGGAGGGGCTGGACGGCCGCGGAGAGCCGGGAGGAGGGAAGGATTCTTTAAGCCCAAGATAAACAAATTGTTCCTCTTCTAGTGCGGGGTGGGGGACCGGGAAGCGAGCGTCTCGGCCTCCCTTCCCCTCCCCCTAGCCGGCTCTTTGTCACCGAGCGCCCGGCGAAAGCCACCCTCGGCGCGCGAGGACTCCCAGCCCGGGGACGAGCGCAGCGCAGAAGCTGCACCCTCGGAGGGCTGCCGGATCGCGGCGCGGCGAGCCCGGGTAGCCCGGGAAGCGGGAGGGCAGCCTCCAGCGCGCCCACCGTCCCCACTCCCGGGCTGGAGCCGGCGGCGCGGAGGGGGAGGGCGCACAGACACCTTTCCCCAGCTTCCGCCTCCCCCCGCCCCCAGGAAAGCCAAAGAACCGGAGCGAGGAGATAAGAGAAAGGATTCTACCCTCAGGGTTAGGGGGCGGGAACTGCCCCTTCCTCCCGGAGAAGTTAAGCCATTGGCTGCGCATCCTGCCTCGAACCCACCCACCCAGCCATTTAAGCTTCTTTCACTTCCCTGCTCCTCTCCACTCCTCCGCGCTCATTACACAGGCGCGTAAAGTTGGCGGAGAGCGGGCGGGGGGCGAGGTGGAGGAGCCTTGGTGCCACCAAGTTTAAGAGAAGCCGAGTTGCTTGGCTGGGACTGTGGGCGCCAGCCCGGAGCTCCTGCCCCCTGGTCCTTGACCCTCCCTCCCAGCGCCTCCACCTGCCAGGCTCGCCCGGGTCTCCAGTGGCGAGCGCAGCGCACTCGCGCCCGTCATCCGCGCGCGCTCCCGCGGGCACCCGCGCGTTGCTACCCTCGCTCGTTTCTCACCCACTTCAAAGTTCATTCACAAAACTCTCAGACTTTCTGCGTCCAAAGAGGGTGAGCTCGGGAGAGCAGGCGAGAGGCTTTTCCTCCCTCCGCCTCTCCCATAGGGGTTGAGGGCCTGGTGCCCGCCCTGAATCTGCGACAGCATCAATTTTTCCCTGCACCGAGACGGGTGGGCGAAAGGGGACGGGTCTGGTGAGGGGAGGTGGCGCTGCGAGAGGTGGGGTAGAGAGCCGCGGAGAGGAGGGGCGAGGTTGCAACTCGGGGGTTCACTCTCAAATCCCTATCTAAGCCAGGGAGGGGGGAAAACTTTTCCAGCACCTCACTCCGACGCTCCTCCAGGCTCCCTCCGCCCCTCGCAGTCGTGACTGGCTTCTCCCCGTCTCACCCCCCCCTCCCCAAATCTGACAACCCTGACATTAACAGGTAGCGCCAACGACAGCTTTTTTTTCCCTGAGAAAAGTTGTCGTTAACCCTTCAGTTTCTCCCCACCGTGCAAATCAGACCCCCACGCCCCCATGGAAGAAGCTCCACGCCCCCCCACCGCGCGCGCGCCCCGAGCCCGCTGCCAGTGCGCCCTCACCATGATCAGCGTGTGGTTCCTCTGCTCCGCCGAGGCAGCCTCCGCATCTTGCTGGGGTTTGCTCGCGTGCTGCTGCTTGCCGGTGCCGGCGCCCGATTTCTTGGCCCTCTGCTCCAGGGTCCGCTGGTAGAGGCTCACGGTGTCCCGGCGCTCCAGCTCTAGCTGCTCCACTTGAGCCTGCTGGTACCTGTTCTCGCAGTTGACGTGGTGCCGCCGGCAGCCCTCGATGCGCTGGCGGAGTCGCTCGACCACAGTGCTGTGCTTGGGGACGGCCGCCGAGCTGCCGCCGGGGCCCCCGGAGCCGCCGCCGGCAGAGGGGTGATTGCTACTCGGAGCAGCGGGAGTACTATTGGGAGTATTATTCACACCGATCCCGGCCCCGCCGAGGCTGCTGTTCAGGCTACTGTTGATGCAAATACTACTGCCATTCGCGGCAGCCGCGGGGGCTGCGAAATCCCCCATCCTGCTCCCTGGGCACACTATTTTGGAAGAACTTTTTTTATCCACCCCCCCTATCAGCCTCCTCCTTGGGTCCAAGGATTAAAATAGTTTAAGTGGAACGCGGGGGAGACGCAAGCACATGGATGGAAACAGCGATCCCGACGGGGCGAAAAAAAGGGGGAGAGATTTTGGGGTGGGTTTTTTGTTTCCTTTTTTTTTAAACTGTAAAGCTCGAGGGGGGAAAAAAAGCGGAGGGTGTTATCGGAATACCATCAGACACCTATCAACAAAAAGAATCACAACAAACTGAGCCAGCAGCAAATCGGGTTGCAACTCCAGGGAAGATCCGCTCTTCGCCTGCCTTCTTTTTATAATCCATTATTTTCTAATAAATTCCAGGAGATTTCCGGTGGCTGGCAAGCATTTTCTCCCTACGTCCCGAAAAACACACCCCATATACACACACAAGCATATGCCTCCGGTGCGGACACGCGCGACACACACTCACTCCACACCGCATCGGAAAACGGCAAGCTTGCTTATTGCATTTTCCTTCCACAAAAAAGTTTTGGTGTTTATGCCGCCCCGTGTTCTCAAAGTACTTTGGCTGCTCAGTTGCATTTCACAGGAACCTAGATACCGAATCCTTGGGCTGGGGGAAGTAAACACATGGACAGTCCGAGGCGACTGCAAAAGTAGATCGGTGAAGTCCTTTGCAAAACGCCGCGCGGAGAGCAGCCCCTAACGCTCGGCTGGGCTGCCGCCGCCGCCTCTGCTCCTGCCACCATCACAATGATCAACTGCTCGCCGCCGCCGCCTCCTCCTCCTCGCGCTCCTCCACCTCCTCCTCCTCCTCCATGCCAGCGGAGTGATATCAGGACGCGCGAGCTCAGTAAACACGGCAGCGGCGGCGGCGGCTGGAGGCCGTGAGACAAGCCCGGGGACACGGCGCAAAACCCGGCCCGGACTCTCACCCGGCAGGAGCGGGCGCGGCACCCGGCTCCCCGCCGCCGCCGCCTCGGTCGCCTCGCCCTCCCCCGCTCCCGCGTCCCCAGCCTCCTTACTCCCCGGGCGGAGGAGCCCGAGCTTCCCGAAACCAGGGAAAGAAAGATTCTGGGGGAGCTCAGGAATGGATCAACTTTTGACCTGTTTGTATGTATGTGAGAGTGTGCCCGCGTGTGTGTACGTGTGCGTGTGTGCGCGCGCGTGCGCGGCGAGAGCAGCCGCGGGGACGCGCCTGGCTGGATTTGCTTCTTCCCAGCGAGGTATCAAGCGAGCCCAAGTTGTTGTTATACATTTATGCATCATATTGCAGAACTGTGCATGACCAGACAGACACATTGCGGCTTCACAGCAGTTGTCTGTCATTCCCACCCATGTGGAAAGAAAAAGGCAAATGAGTGACTTGTTTTTAAAACCCAAGTAATAAGTCCTCGCTAGTCATAACGCTGCTTAAGGACACTTGTTCAAACTCAAGCCCGGGGTTGATGCACAAATACCGAATTTTGAATAAATAGAAATAAGCAGCGAAAAACTTGGAAAATTATTTAATTCGCTATACATAATGATTGTTGTTATTCAGGCAATTATTGTTTCACTTACCCTTGGAAAATATTAAAATAAAGCAAGCAGGGACTTGGAGGTGAGACCAACAGCACATTTTAACAGACTGTTTTGAACACTAGGTGCTAATGACAGCAGTAATTAAGGGCCCTTCGTAAATCAAGTGGAAAGATTGCAGATTTCATGGACTGAACTATAGGAAAAACACAGCATTTCACAGTTTGTCATGACCAAAACAAAAACAAGCAAAAATAACAGGCTTACTTTATTGCTGGATATATTTCTTTCTATTTCAATGAATTCATAATAAGCACAATTAAAACGCAATAGCAACTACAGAAACAAATCTAAACTTTTCGTTTTATTACAGCGAATTATCTCTGTCTATCAAGTATATAAAAACAACAGTAAGTGTTGAATATCCTTGAATCAGGACTTAAACCATTCATGGCATATACATAATTTTGTAAAAATTTTAATGGAAAAACTGCCCGCTCCTCTATGATCATCAATAGGCTACAGATCTTGATTGCACGATGTTCATTATAAGGCATTTTGTATTATCTCAATAAATCTTATAGAATTAGTTTTTAGGGTAAAAATACACCCCAGTTTTCTAAAATAGCCAGGAATAAAAGAACTTTGGATCTTATGCATTAGTCATGAGATCTGATTTAAACCATCTTCATTTCTTGGCATTGCAGATTAGCATAGGATGCTATTTCTAACCTCATAATGTCAGCGATAAGAAGCTACATTTTTCTTCAATTAATTAATCAGGTCTATATAGTGAACTACAACATCCACTCGCTTACATGGTAAAATGGGCAGCAAAATATTATTTCACATGGCCTGAAGCTACCTTTAAGTAGTAATACCAGTGCGAGAGAGTATCTTTTGTTGAAGTTGTCATGTTTTTCCTCTAAGCGTTACTTAGTGAATAGACCAACTTCACAATAAACCCAATCTTGGTCAGAAAATTGAAGTGAATTAGTTTTATAGAAAACAAATCCATTCATACTCTAAAAACAGGTAAAAAAATTACACAAAGTTATAAGCAAAAGAGGTACCAAAGCAGCCTTTATCTTTTTCACATGCTCACTGAGTAGTATCTCTATTAACTCAGGAAGCACATGGCTGCACCACAGAGGGGAAGTCATGACTTTGCATTCACTCTCTGTGCTCTTCACAAGAGTTTAATTCTTGCTCTCCTCCCAGCCCTCTTGCCTACACGAGCCATGCGAGATCGCGACTTGATCTCCAGAGGCAGCAGATGGAGGGTGTTGAGCATGGGGTCTGCAGTTGGAGGCATCGAGCTAACTTGTACTTGTAAAAGTTTTTCATCGACAGTTTCTCATTCTGGAAAAACAAAAAAGATAACAAGGGCGATAGCATGATTCCCATCAAGCTGTGCATCTCAGCTACTGTGAAGGAAAACTGAAAACGCGCAGCACTTTTCGTGATTCCCTTTGCGGGACCAGCGGGAGAGAGGCACGCTTTCTGGCTTTCCCCCCAGCTCCTAATGACCAGTGGAGCTACTCCTGCGTCTGCCGTATTCTGTGCCGGCTGATGACAGTGTGTGAGCGGGCTAGCCCTGAAAGATTGACTCTTCATAAGACGAGCACGCACAGCCGCACACACACACCTCAGATGGTAGAAGAGACAGCTACAAGCTCCAACAGCAAGATACCAGATGCCACGCAAAGAAGGGTTATGAAACTGTGTGACAGTGGAAGGGAGCGCGCTTGAGAATCCTGTCGGGGCAGGAACTCTCCTGTGACACCCTTGAGGTCAGAAGCCCCATGCTACTGTACTCGCATAGGGTCAGTAGAAGAAAGAAGGAGGAAGTGAACAAATCTTGAGTCTTGAGCAATGTCGGTCACCCTGAATTAGAGATGTTTATCCAGTCCAGTGACTTAGGAGAAACAGAAACCTTGGTACTAGCTACTCCTGGAGACTCAGGTAGAATGGGAACTCTGCTTCCCTGAGCAAGTAAGCAAGCCTTTATATAGCCCTACAGATCAGGGCCCAGGTGTGCCTGAGGTACCAGCTGTAGCTAGCTATGCTCCCAATGCACTAGCAAAAGCCATCATTTTAATAATTCCACAGACATATCTATAACCTATGTGTTGGGCGCTGTGATAGGCAGTGGGTGTACTGTGTAACATTGCATAGAACATAGCCCTGACCTCAGAGAACCAGTGTAGTAGGCACTGTGATCCAACTCTTATGGAATCAGTATGAGAACAAGTAGAAGACCAACTGCTTGGGGGAAAGGAGGCCCAGGAAAATTTTTCCAGAAAAATCCATCCATATTTCCCTCTCACAGAACTGTGACTGTGAGGGGGTATGAGGAGAGATGAGACTGAGGCTAAGGCTGGGACGTAAGCAAGAGCCAGCTTGTTTTAGGCCATCCCGTTTAGACTGTGTTCTCAGGACAATGGCTGCCGTCAAGGACTTAAGCTGATTTACCATTCCACACTGGCAATGGAGACAAAGCAGTATTACGGTGCTTTCTAAAGTATCTACTGAAAAGCCCTGTCCCATCCGTTACTCCACCATAAAGGCTGCTGTCCTAAGTGAGTGCAGGAGTTGATCTCTCTTGAAGATTCACGATCTTTTTGAAGGTCATGAGAAATCTTACAGCAAAGGGTGTTTAACTTTGCTTAACCTAATTCTGCTCAAATCCTGTTATGTCCCACAGACAGCTCTGTGCAAGAGAGAGTAAAAATTGAAGGCAGTTCTAAATCCACTTAAATTTACATCAATTGTCTGGGTGTACAGCCTAAGTCAAAGACCATGTTCCACTTACCATCTGCTCTGTCCCAGTCTCTAGTACCTAGGCTCCTTACTTACCCCAACTAGATGTGTTGAATTCTGACCTTTAAGTAGTGAAGAAGTAGCCACATAGGGCAGAGCCCTCAGAAGGATGGATTTGACTAGCCTTGCCCAGCATTTGTCCCCTGAGTATGTTATATTAATATCTATCTCTATATAACAAAAACCTCCTTATTAAGGGTAAGGTCAGTCTCATTTAACTGAAAAATCTTAATTTTATGATGCCTTTAAAGATGAAGAGTTTCATTACTTTTGAAGTCTGCATTCTGTCTAGCCTAACAAATATTGGCCTGGTGGAGCTATTTTAATGATTTCCTTCTACCTAGTAAACCAATTGTTATGTAATTGGCATTCCCCACAAACTATGGGTCTTTCAAAATTTTTTTTCCTTCAAACAGTTAAATATTTCAGGCAAGACCCTATTTACATTATTAATTTTAACTTTTTTATTAAGAAGGGTTTACCAAGTCCTAGAGCCTGTTATAAATTTTTTTTCCTTTTGAGAAGACTATGAATTAATGTGTTTATTTGCTTATTAATGTATTTTAATATGTATATAACCATTTTATGGTTATTAGGAGAAAGGTTATCTAAAGTCCATGCAGGAAAAAAAATTATTTTGTCCCTTTGGTCTTGTGAGAAAGGTTTCAGGATGGTTTTGAACTGTGCAGATCAGGCAGGCCTTGAACTCTCTCTAGCCCAGGCTGACCTCAAATTCATGGCAAGACTCATGTGCCTCCTTTCCCAGTGATGGCAGAGAAGTTTCTTAAGCCTTTAACTTAGGTTCTACTTTCTGCATTCAATCATTTGATATAATAAAGTATCTGACTTGAACAGGTCTAGTTTCCACTTTGCATGTTAAAGACTTCTGAAAGAAAATACCTATCAATCTTTTTATAGATTGAAGATTTATAATCAGCTAAACTTGGCTTTAGAAACAATTAATTTTAACTAGCAACGGGCGTTGAAAATTTGTCCTATTCCAGGTTTCATCTCACTGTTAAAGAAACTGAGGCACAGAAATCTTATGAGACGTTCCCTAAACCGCACAGCATAAAGTAGTGGAGACCAAATTGGAACCCCAGCAATTTGACCCCAGCGTACACAACTGTGAGAGGAACGGTAACTGAGTCTCTCTATTTCTGCACAGCTACAGGGCGCAGAAGGTTGTTCCTGGCCGGGCATGTGGCACACGCCTGTAATCCCAGCACTCGGGAGGCTGAGGCAGGAGGATTGTTGTGAGTTTGAGACCAGCTTGGGCTACAAAGTGAGCCCAAGGCCAGCCTGAACTGCATAGCAAGACCCTGTCTCAAAAAGACACTCGCACACATACACACCC